TGCAAACCGGGAGCCGTGTGTCTCGGCCGCCTCACAGGTTCGGTTCCCCTCTCCTGTCTTGGTCGACAGCAGGGTGATACTGTGTGTCTGAGTCTAAACCGCCAGGTTCGATCCAGAGGAGATCAGCCGCAAACGCCACAGAGTTCGATCCGGCTGGACACATGCAATTTCCCGTGTATCAGATCGAGAGGTGTGAGTGAGCAGGCAGTCTTTAGTCTCAGCCAGCAGTGGTGATGAGCTGAAGGAGAGAGGGCTGGGGGTATGGCCTGGACTCCGCTTTGGGAATCAAGAGCAACCAGAGAGGAGCGAGCACGTCTAATGGGGTACAAGTATGCAGTATGTGAGTTAATGCAAAAGGTCGATTCAGCTGCGAGAATCCAACGATTGGGCTAACCCTGCTGGGGCAAAATCACAATCACCTGCATGAGGTGAGGAGGGCTGAGATACAGACGGCAAAGCACGCAGCGACAACACGGATAGATGGATACAGAGCCTACGACGGGATTATCTTTGCCACAGAGGAACTAGTAAAGATGCCCTAATGGTGACAAGTCCGCGGGCTGCCCGGTTGAGTCGAGACCGCGTTGGACAGAAGTTCATATTACGGCCCCATTACAGGAAATGGCACCGAGTCTGGCGGAGCAGCGTGGACGAGATCCCCTCATTGGTACATTGGATTTCCACGAGCCACTCGACCACTCCATCACATTTCACATGTGTGTACACCCTGGGACCGAAGGTCTTTCGGATAAGCCCTACCCATAGTTGCTGACCTTGGCGCGCAGGGAAGTGGGTGGCTACGCATGCAGAGACAGGGGTGGTGCAGCATCCACGGAGGATCAAGGAAAAGGGAAAGAAGACCTCTGGACCGAGGGGAACAAGCCCGATAGCCTTGTTCGAGCGAATTGCACGGTAGACGCCAAAAAAGATCACAGATGAGGTAGTGTGATCATGGCCGTCCCACTCTGGCATCGCAATCAGAGCGGCCGGGCCTACTGATGATCCAAGCTTCGGCTACGTATTATGCAAGGGGAGGGAAAGAAGTGGTCAGCGCGATCGCATTGAGGAGGATGAGTCTCGCGGGGGCTTCGAAGGCTGTGTGCACTACGGATGTTCCTCTCAGCGAGTGGCTGCTATTCGAGCGAGGTGTGTCTCACCTAGAGCAAGTCCTCATGCGTATATCGTATTAGCAGGGAGCTGAGTTGAGAAGAGCAACATGGCGCGCAGGCCCGACAAGGCGAAGATCCCCGGTTGCTGTTGTGGTTGTCTGAGTTTCCATTGGCGTCGAATATATGCGACGAAAGCAGCCGCCCATGCGGCCAACCCGCCATTATGGTTCGCCCGAATGTGAGGGTAAGGGCAATTCATCAGCTCGTGTTTACCGTGCTCAAAGACGGAGGGTTGCAGTGATCCAGGGTCTACTTGGCGACCAGGCGAAAAGCCACCACTCAGATCGGGGCGCAGACCACAAGAGTGGGCGGCCTGAAGAGCGGATGGTAAGCTCCCAAGCAGGGATCGGCGGTCATGGGCCACCAGTTGCAGGGAGGGCCAGAGTAAGGTTGGAGAAGCATTGACGGTGAGGTGGCATGCCCAACGCCTGCCTGCCTAATCAGTGGTCGCGTATGCATCGTAGCGGGAGTTGGCTGCCTCGATGACGGGCTTCGCGACCGAAGCACACGGCTGCCCTGCCGGTCCCCCATTCTTTGCCTGCGAGCTGAGCGGGTGTGCGTGTGCGTTGGATGGCGCGCGGGTGGTGGCGGATACTGCGAGATGGGAAAAGCAAAAAAAGAGATTGCACCCCAAAGTGATTGGCATGTCTTTCCTTGTTTGGTAGCATCTGATTTTTTAGTCAATTGATCGGTCGGTCCTTTCGGTCTTCGAGGACAGCAAGGATGAGGTGAGATGGGCAGGGTGGGAGCAACCTGGTGCTGGCCTGGCCCAGACACGTGGGAACCGAATCGGATGTGGAGCGAGGGTTCGCCAGCCAGAGCAGCCGTAGATCATCGTCTCAGAATTCCATGGGTGCACAGCAAAAGATGAATAAATGCCACGGCATCAACTCAACTTTAAGTAGTACAGCTGGAGCGATGATGGGACCAACTAACAATGCCAGGTACTAGAGCTAGTATTCTCCGTCGAGGATAGCAGAAACGCAGCGGATGCTGAATTGGTCGTAGCCTCCGAGGTTGTTGGTTGTTGCTAGGCCAAGACAAGATTGATGACATACAATGGCGCCAAGCCTGCTAGTACTTAGCGAGTGGCAGGGGCTGCCAGTGCTTAGCATGACCTCAGCCACCGGCCTTCCCTTGCACCACCACCGCTACAGGCCACAGGCTACAGGGCTGACTTGGCAAATGTCTCGCCTGATGGAATGGACCTTGGAGGGGTTGATGTGTGATATCCTCCCCAGCCCGCATGCATTGAGCCAGGCCTTATGGGTGGCGGCCGCGGGTTGATGCTACGTAACGTGATGCGGGATGGCTATCCAAGGCTCAAAAAGTCCAAATATTGGTGATTTGGAGAATGGTCGTCCATACCCGACCGGTCTGGCCGCTGAGCTGGAGCTTGCTTGCTCAGGGATCGTCGACTTTTAGTCACATCACTGTGACAGTGACTGCCATTGGCAACAGATTGATTGTGTGCATTTGACCGCCGTCAGCACAAAGCTGCCTCAACAATGGCCGTAATTTGCTGTCAGCTCAAGGATATCACCCAATGATGTTTGGCCCGTTGTCAGTCCCAAGGGTACCTGCCTACACTCTCCACTGGCCAACGGTGGTGGTGCTGGCGGATGCTGGCTGTTGGCACCCGTAGCAGGTACCAACTCTCTCGCCATGCTTGCTAAAAAGGCTCCCGGGCGGGGAAATGGAGCGGGGGTTGGAAGAGCGGTGGGGAGGTCCAAGGCGGCCAATCAGGGTCTCAACACCAGCCAATTCCTAGAGGCTTGGCCAGGTGACAGCTTTCGAGGGAAAGCACGAGCGGGTCTCGGGTCTTCCTGCTCTCTGTGCCTGGCGCTGGTCTGGCGGCAGAAGGCAGCTACGACCGGCGGGAGAAGACAAACGTTCGACTCTCATTCCATCCCCACATGATGAATTGGAATTTTCCTTCGTCTGACTGCCAACAAAAGACCTCGTCCCCTGTCAGAGTGTACGTCAGCATCGCCCCCAATCGACGTCTCAATGCGACTGTTGGGTTGCCATGGAAATACCTGGCTCCATCGGGAAGATTTTCCACTGGGTCGGCCTGAACTAGGCAGGGGACCAGGGGCTTTCTCACTCACCCCACCTATCTTGGGAGGGAACATTCGATTCGGCTGGTTTGTAGCCAACCTCGCATCTGTCGCTGCTTCTTTCCCAAGGTGGCAGCCGCTCTACGAGTGCGATTCTCACGGCCTGTAGGTCTCTCTGCCTCGCTGGGCTGGCACGTTCTTACAAGTCTAACCTAACGTGTGCCCACATAGTCAATGACCCGCGCGCGCCACTCTCTCGGGCTGAGGTCGCGGGCTGCTTTCGCAAGATGGTACTCGTTCAGACCTCAGCCCCTCGTAAAAGGCTCATTGTCGTCCTCCCTCTTGTCTTGGAGCCCCACTTGCGAGATGGTGGCTTGCATGTCCCTCTGCCGGCTAACGTTCTTTTGCTCTGGCCGAGCACTAACACGCATCAAGGGACCGAACCGCACCGCGCAGTATCACACCTAACGCTCTCTGCATCCTTGGCGATGGTACCCTCTGGCCCCCAACACCGGGTGCCTGTTCCACCCATCGTGATGAGTGCGGAGGTTAGGCACTGAGATGTCGACTTCTCCGCCGCCAGTCGTCCCTCTCCATCCCCCAATTCGGCCTTTCTCTCAGTACGGTCTAGAACGAGGATTGCAACCCGACCCCTCGAGGGTTGAGGCGATGTTCTTTGGACCTTGCTTGGGTAGGTGCGAGTGGAGATATCTTATTCTCCCCCAGGCCAAGCCAAGCTGCATCTCTTGTTCTCGTGAATGTGCGGTGACCCATGCCCCATGCTCGCTGTCCCACAGCGCGGCTCAGCAACCTACCCAAAGTGGATAGCTACATCGACAAGGATACCTCCGAGTATTCTCGCGCATCTTGTTAGCCTTGATTCTGCACGCCCGTGCGCGATGATTTAGCCTTGCCCGCGGAGAGGCGTGTCCCTCGCATGAGAGTGCCGGGCCCTGTCTCTTGTCATGATGTGCCGATATTAGTCCAGGAGCTCCCCATCTCTCCGTGTAAGCTGCGTCGCCACCCGTCTTGCTTCTCACCTCTCCTCTCCGTACGCTCGCTCTACTGAACTCTGTGACGGCCAATTCACTGGGGATTCCTCCTGCTGTCTCCTCTTGGCCTGATCAGTGACGGTATAAAAGGGCAACAAGCGCAAAGGCATTGGTGCCGCACCAACTGCCTCTGTCCGCCTGTCCATTCGTTTGCCCTGTCGAGGACCACTTCGCCCGTGCGTTGGTAGCTGGTTATTCATAGAACCGGTAGCCTGGTAATCTGGCAGAGCAAGGTTTCGTGCCTAAGCCTTGCCTTGGCTCATTTGGAAGCTGCAATTACATGGTCCTAGCTGTTGTGTGTAATATTGGTGTCAAGGTACAACCCCAGTCAAGTGTTCCCTCTCCCCTTGCCCACTTATGCTGCCTGTTATGAATGGACACTCCCTCTGACTCCTCACGAGTAATATATAGGGCTGATTCCGACGGCTGCCTCTCTCTAACGCCTCACGCTTGTCCTGTCTCCCACCCTCTCGTTCACCGTGCTTTGCAGACATGCGCTTCTCCTGGGGACTCGCCGTTGGCGCTCTAAGCGCCCTGCTTCAAACCGTTGGAGCTACGGACCTACCCCAAACTCCCGATCCTGCTATTACACAGGCCCCAGTGCCTTCGAGCAACTGGACCGCCCATGTCAATGTTGTTAGCAACGCCGTCAACCCGGACGCGGCGAGGTGTGGAGGTTGTTGCACAGTTTACGTCAATTCGACCTTCAGAGAGACAGTATGTACGCCCCTGTTACACTGGAACAGGAGGATGGTGACGCTAATGCCATTTGCCAGACAATTATCTATGAGACAAAGACAGTTCCAACAACTATCACAGAGACGTGTACGGTCACGGTACCCACGACGGTTACAGTCAAGGTCCCAACGACAGTTATAGTCAAGGTCCCAACTACTGTTGGTGTCACTGTGGGTGTGCCAACGACTGTCAACAAGCCTACGACAATCAAGGCCACTACCACTTACACCACAACGTACACTACGGTATGCTTTCGAAACCATCATTCCGATCCTAAATACACGCTGACCATTCTCTTCACAGTCCTATCCTGTCACAACAACTAAGACTGTCAAGTAAGTATTTGGATTTGCTCTCGCGCGGATTGAAATCCTGCTAACATTACTCTAGCTGTCGCCCTGGTTCAACCACATCATCTCCAGGCTACCCAACGAATGTGTATGGCAGGACACCACCGCAGCCGATCTGTGATACCATCACTACGACAGTGTGGACGACCACAACAACCACCGAATTGCTCTACACCACCGTGCCCACCACAGTCGTTGTTCCAACCACTATTGACAACACCGTCCAGGTTCCAACGACAGTCGACAACACTGTGCTTGTCCCAACTACTGTGGACAACACCGTCCAAGTTCCGACCACTGTTCAAAACACTGTCCAGGTTCCAACTACGATCGACAGAACTTCGTATATTACGAAGACAACCGCCACCCCAACCACGGTCTGGCAAACGACCACTTTCACGGAGACGGTCGAGCGCACAGCAACGGTCACCAGTGGAACCACTATATTCACCACTGAATATAGAACTGTCACGAGTAGTTATCCAGTCGTCTCATGGGCGACATCGTACATCACAGAGAGGACAACTCTTCCTGGTCAGGTCACAACGCTCCCTGGGACGACTAGCGTCACGACATTTACAGTGACGGCAGATGGCACAACGAGCGTTGTCACATCGACGGTTACTCTTCCTGCGTCTACCGTCACTCTTCCAGGGTCAGTCACAACACTTCCGGGCCAGGTTACAACGCTTCCCGGAACGACAAGTGTCACAACGCTCACAGTGACTGCCGATGGAACGACGAGCGTTATTACATCAACCATTACTCTGCCTGCCTCTACAGTCACGCTTCCTGCTTCGACAATCACTCTGCCCGGCCAGGTAACAACGCTTCCAGGCCAGACTGTCACTGCGCCCGGTGCCACCATCACTGCTCCCGCGCAGACAATCACTCTTCCTGGTGAGGTGACAACGCTGCCCGGTTCCACGGTGGTGACCACAGCCACAGTTTTGGGACCTGAGAGGACGATCACCGTGACAAGAGACGGCTCGACAATCATTAGCACTGTGCCTGGCCCAACCTCCTATGTGCCGACAACCATCACTGTCCCTCCTATTACAGTAACAGTTCCACCCAACACGTTGACCGTTACAACCATCACTTCTGTCACCCTCTGTCCAGCCCCAACTGCCACTCTCGCATCGACATACAAGCCCAAGTCCAAATTGACATTTGGATGCAGCCCAGGATATGTTTGCAACCCTAAAAAGCCGGATAACTGTAATTTCTGGCCTGGGCCTCCGCAAAACGAGTATACGTGCGCCTATGAGGAGTGCATTCGGTCCCCTCCTATCAAGAACGTGACTTGGGAGGGTAACCAGACTGGTTACTACCCCCCGCAATTTGGCTACTTCAACTTGAACCCCAACGCCTTCGGACTCTCGTATGATATTTTCGAGGCTGAGGTTATTGTGAAGGAGAAGCATGGCAAGCTCGTGACTATTACCACTGGTAACTGGGAATCTCAAACATCCATCTCCACCTTCGCGCGGTCAACTTCGACAGCCGTCCCTGTCGTCCGCCGAAGACTGGCCAAGCGTGAATTCGACACTGCTCCTGCAGTTTGCTTCGGCATATGCAATAATGCATATGTCCTGGCGTCGTCTCTCGGCAAGAGTGATGAATTGTGCGATCCAGCTGGCGACTTCATTGCTGGCTACAATGCTTGTACCAAGTGTATCACGGATAATATTGGAGAATCTCAGACCACCCCAAGAGATATCGTGGATCCTGAATTTGGTCAGTTCTTGAACTACTGTTCGGGAACCAACCCAGTTACATCGACATCGGCTACTGCTAGCGGACCGGAATCCGCCGTGACCTCCGAACCCTCAATCACCACAGGCTCACAAGTCCCAACAAGCAGCGGAGGCTTTTCTGCCATCACCAGCACCGAAACCACTTCCTCGAGCGCGGCTTCGTCCTCGGCGAGCAGCGCTTCTTCAACAGCGTCCACTTCAGAGCCAACCTCTACAATTGCTACATCCACATCCTCAGCAAGCCAGACCAGTGAGACTCTCTCCACCGTGTCAAGCTCCTCGTCTTCAAGCGCCTCTACAACGAGCAGTGCTACCACGAGCGATGTTAGCAGCTCCAGTTCCGCTGTTTCCTCAGCATCAAGTTCGAGCAGTTCCAGCAGTTCCAGCAGCTCGAGCATCTCGAGCAGCTCCAGTTCCGCTGCCTCTTCAAGCTCCAGCTCCTCTGTGATTGTATCCAGCAGTTCAAGCGGTTTCAGTTCTGCTGTGGCTACACCAAGCAGTTCCAGCAGCGCCAGCTCATCTGGTATTTCAACTACAGGCAGAGTCGACCCAACCTTCGCCACCAGTAGCAGTGCTCCATCGTCCTCTGCGCAGACCAGTGCAGGTACTGGAACCCTACCAACTGTCCCCAGCCCCTCAGTTAGTACACTGCCTCCCTCGGCGGGTACTCGCTCAACTGCGGGCTACACCCTCCTGGTGACCGTCCTTTGCATGGTTGCCACGCTCTTCGCGTAATACCCTTCCCGTGAAGAGTTTCTGTAATGTTTTTTTTTTTCATGTGCGCCTCAACGCACATTCACGACTCTCATTAACAAACGATGAATGAATATTCACGCTATTTTGACGATTTCTGGGATTTCTCGGGAAAGAGCGGTGTTTTTGTGAGCCCAACCGGCCAAGGCATGGCCAGGCTTTCAGTTGGGTGTTGTTGTTTTTTGTGATTTAATTGTTTGGGAGCCAAATTTGCATTGGAATGGCTTTAATTAATGGATGATACCCCACGACACTCATTCTAGACGACGGGAGGCATGATGGATGATTCCCCACGACACTCACTATAGACACGGGATATATATGATGGATAATACCCCCACCACACTCATTTAGACAATGGATCACACTGATGATACCAAGACACTCTCTTATACTACAAACAGATATGCGGGGGAAATCGGGTCAGCATGGGAGGACGGTAATTGGGCTCGAGCCATCATTGGTTGGCTTGAAAAGTTGCTACTGCGAGAGGGAGAACTTGGAAATTTGTTCAAAGTTTGGACCTGGCGCCGATTGGCCTCAGAAGAAATGGATAAAAAATGGAACTATTTTACCATTCAACTTATGTTCAAGTACAACGTGACGTGACCTGCAAGTGACTAATCTCAATTCATCGTACCTAGGATCAGAAACAGTTTCGTATATTCCAAACCACGTCTTCAATCATCAGTATAGGAATCAAAACAAGCAGCCGGTGAGGTAGATGATCATAAAGAAAGACGTGCACACATGCTGTCATTCATATTCTATTCCAACAACATTATCAACAAGTGCCTCATTTCTCAGAACGGCATGTAACGTGACCCCTTTTGACAAACGCCAAAAAAACAACGAAAGACTGCCCCCTAAACTAATAACAAAACGCCACCCCTGATGTAGACAGACATCCATTTGATTCCGACAAGATTGCCCCTACCATGTTACTCATTTCAATCATTCAACAACAAGGTCCTCGAGCACATTCATGGCTTTCGACCCCTCGCTTTCAAAAGAGCTGACCATCGCCTCACACTCTTGCTTCAGCAGCTTTTCAGCCTCGCCCGCGTTGAAGTAGATCCATTCTTCCACGGTCATCTTCTTCTCGGGGCTTGTAAGGTCTTTGCCCTTCTTCAGAAGTCGCGCCACGCCATTCTCCTTTTCGCCAGCTTGGTGCGGAGTGCCCATCACGGTGTCAATGTCTACGGCCTTCCACGGTGTCTTGCTTTGAAGGCCGGCGACGATATTTCGCCTTGACGGCGAGTCACGCACAGGCGTTGCCTCTACAGGAGCTAGCACAACTCTCTTCGCCCTTGCACTTGCCGGTGGCTTGGATGATGGGGGTTGGTTTTCCGCGTCAGACGACTGCGGAGACTGGGATGGTGACAGAGCCGCTTGCCGAGCCGATGGCGCTGGCGAGACTCCTGTAGCTGGTGTGGATGGTTGTAAAGTGACGTGATTAGACTCCGAACGCCTAGGCGTTGGTGCTTTTTGTCGCTCCATAAAGGGGGAGGAGGAAGGGTCTCCTACAATAGACTCGGGCCCCTCGACCAGGTCAACCGATTCATCTGCGCCTGCCTCCGCTTCAGCCAGTATTCTCGCCTCGGCTGCATCTGATTCTGCTAGCAACTGGGCGTCGGGTTCGGACAGAATAGGCTCTTCTTTCGACTGCTTGGGTGGTCGGCCGCGCCCACGCTTAGGCGGAGCGGCTATAGTGGTCGGCTCCTGGACCTTGACATCTTCCGTGAAAGAGGCTGAAAGTGACGCCTTGGAAGGTCTGCCGCGTCCGCGTTTCTTTTCTGGCTCTGGCTTAACTTCGACCTTTGGCTCCGACTCCATCTCGAGGTTCTCCGTTGAAACTTTCTGAGGCGGGGCCAGGTCTTGCGTGAGTGTCTTGGAAGGTCGCCCGCGAGGTCTTTTCTTTGGTGACTCAACTTGCTCCACGGCCAGCTCATCTGCATCAATGGAGACTTGGGAAGCCAGCGAATGCTTAGATGGGCGTCCACGTCCCCGCTTCCCAAGACTGGCTCTTTGTGGCTCCGACTTCTGAATGACAGTGCCAGTGCTGCCAACACTAATCTCTGGCTCATCCACAACAGGGTCTGAAATATCAGGAGCTGCCGGTTCGGGTTCGGATTCGTTCTGTGGTTCGAATTCTGGTTCAGGCTCAGGGGCAGGTTGAGCTTTCTTAGGCTTGGCCTGTTTTGACGCCTTGCGCGTGCCTGCCTTTCGTCCTTTCTTAGGGACCTGTAGTTGAGGTAGCTCTGGCTCTGCTTCTGGCTCTGAGTCCGGTACAGGCTCTGGTTCAGCCTCGGGTTGTGGTGTTTCCTCTGGTTGGGCAACCTCCATCTCTGCACGCAGAGCCTCCAATTCGTCTTCGATTTCATCTTCATCTGGTTCAACTGGATGGGGATCCAGCATTGCAAATGACTCTGATTTTTGTATTTCGACCGTCTTATGGAAACTTCTCTGCTCCTCCTCAAAGGATGCCTTGGCTCTTGACCTAGAACGTTCAGAATCAGAATCTGCTGCGATCTCCTCATCTTCCGTAAGGGGGGCTTCAAGTTCAGCCTCCAATTGGCGTTCAATCTCGTCGTCATCTGGAAAGCCTCCTGGCGGTGCCCTGAAATTTTCTGGGGAAGACACAGGTGCCGCTACCGGAGCCTTGTGGGATTTCTGTGCGCTCACAACTCGGCCCTTCTTGCGAACCGGTGCGGCTTTGGCCTCAACGGGCACTTCAGCAGGGCTTTCATCGTCCGAAAATTGAATTGCAGAACTTTCGATTATGGTATTGCCACGTTTTCGAGTAGCTCGCTTCTTCGCTGCTGGAGCTTCAGACTCGGCAACTGATGGCTCCTCTATCGCGGCACTGGGCCGCTTCTTTCCACGCTTAGCCTTGCTCGGCTGGGCAACAGGGGGTTCTTCAATGGGTGGTTGTTGGTCTTCAGGCTCGTCTTGCACGATAGGCTCTTGCACGACAGGCTCTTCCTTTTTACTCTTAGCCTTCTTGCCCTTAGCTGCAGGGGCCTTCTTTGCGCGGCTTTTCTTGGTGCCACCTTGCGTCATTACGGATGTAGTTGTGACGACGCTGTCGTCGGGTGCTGCGATTGTTTCCGCTACTGATGCTGCTTCAGAGGCGATAGAGACAGCCGATTGTGTAGACAGACGTGAAGCCTTAGAACCTCGTCCGGCCTTTGTACGGGTTGTCTTCTTGGTTTGTTTGTGTTCTTCAACGAGTGCGAAGAAGGCACAATTCGGTGATCGTTTGTAATGTTCGTCTCTTTGCGATTATTAGTATACGGGGCTGAGAAGAGGAATGAAAAGCCCTCATCAATAATCATGAAGGCAATATTTAGCACTCACTTTGGTTTATCTTCTGCTTCCCAACCATCCATGGCCAATTGACAGTATGTGCATGTTGTCATATCGTCCGAATCTGGTGTGGGTGTGTACTTCCATCCCGATTCAACGAGCTAAGAAAGGTCAATTCGTCGTTCCTGCCCGTTTGCCAGGACGATTGTATGCGTTCTGGTCTCACCTGCTTTGTTTTGCATTTCCATCCTCTCTTGTTCTCGTGAGGCCATCTGCCTGCAAATGTTGCCTTTCGCGCCATTGCCATGTCAGGGTGGTTGGGATCCTCTCGCCAGTATCCTTCCATCTCAGCCTCGATAGCCGCGACAATTGCCCATCCGCAACTGGGTGAGTGTTTCAGATGCTCGCGCAAAGGGTCATCGCCCTCTTCCCAACCATCCATGCTCTTCTCGCAGAGGAAGCAAACAACATTGTCGGGATTGTCAGAGAATGGCAAGAAGAAAAAACCGGCTCGAGCAAGCTATATTGGCGCGCGTATTAGCAATCCGCCGACACGATTGAAGCTCAAGGAAAGCTGGGAGTGCTCACGCTCTCTGCGGAGATGGTCTTATGTGGCCAATTCTGAGCCTTCGCGCCTCGGCCGCCCGCTGTTGAACCTCGCTTCTTAGTCTTCTGAAACGAAGCGAGACGGCCGTCGAAGGTCAAATACTGATCGTCTACTGTGATATCCGCCATGTTGGGCAGACTGGCGGTGTGGTCGTGATTCGCGCGTCGTGATCGTTCAACAAAGTATCCACGTCAAAACAAATAGGCTGCAGGGGCAGGTATGCGATTGGCGCCGATATGGGGTCTCGTTCCGGGGTTCAGGTCGAGCGTGAAATTCGTGTCATGTCTAATCGTCGGAGCGTTACCTATTCATTAGAAGATAGAGATGGAGGTATAAGGGTAGGTGAAATGAACTGTCAAAAGAATGGAATTATGGATAGACACGAAGAAAGACGCGAGAGCCAAACAAACTCGAGGGCTGGATGCTTGGAGTTCCAGTTGGTCCTTGCAAGCCAATGACTGGGGGCTGAAGCGAATGACGAGTGAAGTGGGCGCGGACCAAACGCGTTTGTTTACTTTGGAAGATGTCGGTGGGAGTTTAGTGGGGCAGTTGCTGGCGTTTTCATTCCCGTTGGCTGCAGGTCCACATCCCCAATTATATCAACTTAACCTATACCTCGGGCAGCCTCCCATCTCTAAGTACCAGAAGCTCCCACATGATGCAGCTCTACAGAGGCACTGTAGGGAATTGAAGCATCAGTAACGGCAACGTTTATTTCGCAATGAAGGTCTAAAATATCGCGACAAGCTTAGCTGCCCCGACTCATAGCTTGCCAAGCTCCTTCAGTGCCTTCTCTCCATCAACTAGAACACACCAGCCTTCACTTCCCCTACCTCCATCCCCGTAGACGACGGCTTCGAAAGCTCCATCTGCTAAGGCAAAGTCGAGTACCTCCTTGTTAAACGTACCAGGCTGCAGCCACACAGAGGGAATGCCAGCAGTCTTGGCTGCCTTGAGCACATCAAGGGTAACAGGCGGAGGTGTAATGATAGAGACACCGGTGTTCTTCGGGTCTGCCAGTTCCTGGACGTTCTTGACCGTTGGGTAGTCCTGACCGCCGACGGTAACAGACCCGGAACCCGGGTTGACGGGCGTGACAGGAAGCTTATGGGCCAGATACCATGCGTGCACTTGATAAAGAAAAAAGATCAGCGATGCAGGGCAAAGAAGAGATAGCAGGGGGATCAACCCTTGTGGCCAAACTTGGCTGGGTTTGAGCTGGCGCCGACAACGGCGAACCGGGCCGCAGAGAAGAATCGGTGTGCGGTTGCTTCGGTGGACATTGTAAAGCGTAGTGGAGTTCTAGATGAGAATTAAGGGCTTGTGATTACTGCTTCACCAAGATGATGGATATTTATCGAAGTGAAGAAAGGCGAGAGGACTATATAATTGAGTTCATTGGTAATGATGCCGACTGGCTGAGAAATGACGACTGCGGGGTTCCACGAATGGCGAGCGAGGCCGTTTGTTCTTCATTACTGCAACGGGCAACTGGATGATAGCCATGTAGCAATGTGTCCAGAATGTTTCGTCCAGCCAAGGCATCTTGAGAAAAATATCAGATTAGGACTTGATTCCGGCCTTCACATGTTCCTTCACACGTTCCTCTTCTGCTTAATGCTACGATGCTGTCAACAGGCTCTCCACAGGCTCGGAGTTTACGCCATTTAGAGAAGAAATATGTCGTCAATCAATACCCTACGCTCTTCGGCGTCAACAAACTGAAGAAATGAAACGACATCTTGAATTCGATTCATCTGCCTCCAGTTCAAATAAAATGGGGTGTGAACTGAACATAGATCTGGTTAGGCTAAATGAAGACTGAGGGGAATTGTTCCTTCTACTGCTACTGTATCATGTTTTTATAGATAACATCCTACCACATAGTAAGTAGCATTGTTGATTAAATGAGCACCTCCCTAGGGTAATTTAGAGGTGCTTAGCTTGTGGGAGGTGTGGGATCTGTTATCGCCATGGCTGTTCCGAGTAACGAAGATCCGAAGTGCCATCTTTCGCTGTCAAAGGCCACATTTTTGGCAGATGTATGATTATTAGTTGCAATAATAGATAGGCAATGAACATCTGGTTATTGTATTCATAGTCCTCGTGCCTCCGTCTGATTTTATGAAAGCTTAGTACACCGCCGTTGATCACATAGCCGATTACAATTACTGCTAGGCAGTGGCTTAAGCATTGCCGGCCACGCTATCGAGGCCCGGGACCCAAAACAGCTGTCTCAAAAAGAGCCATGGCTTCAATAGCCCGGCCGGCTGGTCGCAGGGACTGGGGCACAGTCAGCTTGGCAGCCTGTCGTTGACTCGTTGCCCCGTCAGTCGCAGCATGGACAGGCAGGAAAAAAGGGGCCATTTATCCACGGTGCGCATAATCGGGGGGCAGAGTGTACCGAGTTATGAAAAGACCAGACCAGACAACAGAAAAGGCCCTGGGCACCGCCAAAATTGATTTCTCGTCCTTTCATCATCACCATCACCAGTTTTGCACGATCCTACAGCCGCTCATTCCGTCGCTTTTTTGTGTGCCAACCCCTCCTGCAGCCCGGGCAAGACACAAGACACAGAATTTCGCAGCCGCTGGCGTATTTGTTTAGGCCCCCCTAAGTACCAGTACCACCGACGCAATAAACACAATGGTGAGTTGCCCCGGCACCCGAAGGCGTAAACACAGCCAGCAGCACACCACCCCGCCAGCGCTCGTGATTCGCTGGCAGATGCACTGGACGTCTGCCGCATTTCCAAGCGCAAAAAATAGAAGACCGCCAAACAATCGCATACCTGCCCAATCCCTCTCCTGTCCATCAGCTCCGATCTCTGCGCATCGCTAGAACCACCAAACATTACTTTGCCCACCATGTCTTCTAACCACATTGACGCCCAGGCTTCGACCAACTACAAGGAGGCTTTTGCCCTGTTCGACAAGCGCGGAAACGGCCGAGTCACTCTCGAGAGCCTTGGCGATCTGCTCCGTGCCTGCGGCCAGAACCCTACCCTCAGCGAGATCCAGGACCTCGAGAAGAATGTCGGCGGCGAGTGTGAGTGCTCCATTTAACCCATCTGCGTGCGACCGACGACGGTCCCGATGCGATTCCGATGCTGACGTTCCCAGTCGACTTCGAGACCTTCCAGCGTGTCCTGAACCGCCCTGGTGGCTTCCGCGACCCCGGCGAGCCTGACGAGTACTGCCGCGGTTTCCAGGTCTTCGACAAGGACATGACGGGCTTTATTGGCGTCGGCCAGCTCAAGTACATCCTGACCAACCTCGGCGAGAAGATGACCGACGAGGAGGTCGACGAGCTCCTCAAGGCCGTGGACACCAGCTCTGGCCAGGTCAACTACACCGGTACGGACTCTCCCCCCAACATCTCGCCAAGAACTGTGCCCTCACTGACTGTTTTTCTAGATCTTGTGCGAACCATCCTCGCCAACTAGGCGATCACGGCGCCAAACAAGCCTGCTTTTATGTTGCATCTGCGTTTAGGAACGGCGGCGTTGCTCTATTTACATGTGATTTGGCCTGGGATTGACTACATTGGGATTGGAATGGATGGCGATGAGGTACCGCGACTGTAAGATGAGATGTCGTATATGGCTATTACGGTAGATAGCTTCTCGAGTCTCGAGGCATCACTATAAAACGTGCTCCACGGGACTGCGATGTTGCTCTTGATAAATGAACATTATAAGATTCTGTATCGCTAACCTTGAAATGCCCCCCCCAACACATCGCATGGAACCAAGTAGTGGTTGCTATCTACAAAAATAATCAAACTACAAGCGTGACTTGAGGCAGATGGCCCTCGTGTCTGGTTGACGCCTCGGCCACATATCAAGAGTTGTCCAGTTCAGGGATGGATTGGTCCGTCCCCAATGCCCAATTTTCTGATATAGAATGTCCCCCATTTTCTTTGAATGCTCATAATCATAGAAGCAGGACTTATTTAGGGTAACCAAAATTTGCCATCTTAATTTCGGCCTCGGCGATCATTTGAAGGTCGCTTCTACGAGAGCGAAACATTGGAACATAACCAATGCCGACGGTGTTTGTCGGTTCGGACTCACACGCCCGATCACACACTCGTAGCGAGGGAAAATATGTATGACGGCTCTGGAACTCCATAGCCATGGTCTCGCTCCCGCAGCACATAGGTAGCCATGCACCTAGGTCGGCGGTGATAGTGCGCTGGATGGCTCGGCGAAATTGATCTCGGTATGACAGCTCTGACCGCCCATCATAGTCGATAAGGTCTTCGGCGATAAGTCAATCGTGCATGTGCCACTATGCACCTATGGCGCACGTTGATATAGTCTCCCGTTGCCGATTTGTTGGCATGGTCCATGTCGCAGGGTATCTTTCGTTGCGGTACCCTATATCAGTCTAGAAGTCAAACATAGCAAGAGGTGAGGGGTTCTATCTCAAGGATCCCGACCACAAGGGAGACCACATCTTGGTGAATGCTGATTTTGACATTGTGAGCATTATTAGTTTGGAATAGGGTAGCATAGTTTCAAAGCAGAGCGGATAGATGATAGTATGGATTTATTAGTTATAGAGAGGTAAGTCATGGAACCAAATAAACAAGGCTACTACCTAGCAAGTCGTCTATATTCTAAGGAAGGTTTATCAGGACAAATACTAAAGTAACCTCCCACTAACCTATTTCCTACCTATGAGGAGCAGCTAGCAGAGTCTTCCCGTCACCGTCACCCCGCTTCTGGCGACAGCGCATCATCAGATGGTCCGAAGCAGGTAATGGAGGGGCACTCTAAAGGCGAGTATCTGGACCTGAATCATGCATAATAAGATTAGATGGTTTTTGGCTTTATGCATTTCGATACTGAGGCTGCGCCGCCTCTTGGCTGAATACGCACACCGCTTGTTCTACCGCCTTCCAGCATCGACACATTCGGTTCGAAAAGGTGCGACATGAGGTAATATAGCATCCCTAGACCGATCTGCTCCCGCGCGTAGCCCCAAGTACCTGTGCCGCAAGGGGCATGAGGGACTTGAGATGTGACACCATCGGACTTGCAGTGCCTCGAGATGGCGGGGCAACGTAGTGATAGGTCGATAGGCGCCTGAGGAAGCATCTCGGCCCACCGCTCCTGCCGCC